GACAACAGAGACTATGATGAAGATGAAGATGAAGATGATGAGGTGAGCATGGAGCTGCCAGATTTCAGAGCTAGGGATAGGCCCAGGGGGGTGCCAGGTTTGACAGCTTGGATTCAGTCATTCTACCTGCTGTGAAGCAGAGGTGGAACCCAGTATGCCAAGAGATGAGCAATGAAAGAAGGAAGGCAGCTAAGAAAGGAGGTATGGGAGAGGTATAAGGAAAACGCCAAGGAGCCCTGAGAGAGACGAGAGAGGGGGAGGAACAAAGAGAAGGATGAATAATAATTCTTTTAAAATGTGTGTGTGTGTGTGTGTGTGTGCGCGTGCGTATGTGTGTGTGTGTCTTTCTAATGGTTAATGAATACTTATAGTTCACATTTACATTCGGGATATTTTGGTTAAGAAAAAAAATTAGATTTCCATAAATGAGCAAACATTGACTTTATTGCTGCTGACACTACATATTTCTAACTCATCCTCATTCTCTTCTCAGATGATAAGCCAGGAGACAGTCACTGAAGATGCCCTCTCAGTCTCATCAGGGCAGTCAATGAAGGGGGACATACCTATTAACTCAGAAACCACATCGTGTCTGAACATCAGGTCTATCATCCACTGGTTCAGAAAGCGGGTGGTCTCCTCCCTACCTGGGAGAAGGCGCCCTGACACAGCCTATAAGGACCCCAGTCTGCTATAATCGAAGAAAAAATGTTTTCGTAGAGGCAAGAGAATCCAACCTCAGTAGCCCCTCAAAGTTAGGAAACCTTACATACTCATAGCATTTAAAATTTGTTGAAAACCCCTATTCAATAGTCCCCATAGTTTTAAGTTTTTTAAAAATTAAAAAATATTGTTGTTATTCATGACTTCCTTCTTTTCCATCATATAATGTGGGTCAAGGTTCAAATTATATATGTTGTCTAGAAGAGTTATATGCATTCTCAGATATCTCAGGTGGTGGTAGGATTCCTAAACTAAAGGCATTCTGTTTCTCCCTCTCAACATCCCTTCTTACTGCATTTGTCCCCATTTTATTTGTTTTATTTCATGTGTTTCATCCTCTTTGATCATTAACTCATCTCCCCACAGCCAGAAGGCAGCAGGACACCTGTTAGACTCCCAA